AATTGATATAGTTGTATTCAACTATACTAAGATACTCTCACAGCCAAATCATATATATTTATACATATAAAAATACTTCAACTAAATAAATTCAGAAAATATTAACGAAAGTTATTCCACAATATATTACTTCGAAAAAAGAATTCATTATAGCTGATAATGTCATAATAAGTGTTGAGAAATTGTCGAGTCACCAATACATGTCAGAATACAACTATTTATTACGTGGAGCATTCCTACAAGTTCGCTTGTTATGTCCTCCCTGCCCACATATGCTACATGAATGTTGATTTTTCGGCAACAACAATTCACTTAAATTTTTGTCGCGCTTCTTCTTTGGCCTTCCAGGAGGTCTTTTCCATTTGGGTGGTAGTACAACCTCCTCTGCAACATGCTCTGGTATATTCCAGTCATTTTTGTCCGGTAGCGGGTACACTGGCACATCGTATGTCATTACAATTGTACTTGGCTTGTAATAGCTAGAGCAATATTCTTCAGGCATTAAAAACTTGCTCTTCAATACAACCCAGGCATGTGGGCATGGCAATTCATCAATTTGGAATCTCCCACAAACACATTATCTCTTGAGCAAGCAGACTGTGTAATTCCTCCCACCATCGTTAACAGTATGTAAGTATTCAGTTGAGGGTACTACCTACATTTAAAAACACAAATATAAGTTTTGAACACATTTACATGAATTAACAAATATATACTACTGAGTTAAATGGTTACTATCAACTTCAAAAATTGCAACTTCATCCAATTTCAGTTAAATTCAGCTGATTCCAGCAACTGTATGCAACTGTATTACTCTATAGTCTGCATTTGTATGCATTTGCATTCAACCTTTTTTTAGCAACTGTATTCAGGTATTTCCAATCAATTTAAACTGTATCAATCACCTGAATTCCATTGTAATCATTATCACGTGCATACAGGCTTAATAATAACATGTATTTACCTGTATTCATCTATATTATTTACTAGTTCAAGCCAATATTCATAAAAATTAACGGGTAGTTCTGCCTAAAAAAATGTATTCAGTTGTATACAACAATGCCATAAAAAATTAACTTACAGTCATACGGGTACACATGGTCTCATTCAACTCCAGCATTTCCTGGTATTTTTTCCCAAGCGTCTTGTATGTATGAGTAGCTTCTTTACGGTTACTACAATTCCAACGACCAAACATCTTCCTAACTTCTTCGAGGAAGTCATATATTGGCAATTCCCTTGCTGAAACTAGTGTTGCATTGATTGACTCAATATTTGACGTCATTGTCCATCCCCTGTTAACAGGTGCATACAACCTAACCCACTTTTCGTAACCAGCTAACTCTAAGTATTCTTTCACCCTAATATCTACCTTCTCAACCTTCTCCATCAGACTATCAAATTCAGTTTGTGTGTATGTTTTTGCCATCGAGAAGTATATCTCACTCAACTTGGCATGGCTCTTTTTGAATTTCTTGTATACGTTATTCCATAGATGCCATATGCAAGCACAATGCGGTAAATCCGGATATACTCTCGATACAGATTTAATGATGCTCTCATTTCTATCCGAAACAATGCACATGTTTTCCCTTACACCGTATGCTATCTTGAATTGCTCAAAGAACCACGTCCAAGCAGCATCGTTCTCTGAATCAATAACACCGTATGTTAGTGGCAATATATAACCTGTTTAATATAATTGAATATAATTGTTTTTAAATACATGTTTTCCAATGCTTTAAATATTAACAAATTGTATTATTATTGAGGTACTCACCTGCACCATCCAACGTGCTTGCAGAAACGAATGTCCATGTGTAGTAGGGTTTTAGNTGTTTAATACAATTGAATATAATTGTTTTTAAATACATGTTTTCCAATGCTTTAAATATTAACAAATTGTATTATTATTGAGGTACTCACCTGCACCATCCAACGTGCTTGCAGAAACGAATGTCCATGTGTAGTAGGGTTTTAGATGACTTCCGTCCACTACANAATTGGTCTACAATGATCAAACCCCCTTATAAATGCATACAATGATATATACACGTACATGAATTCATTCTTTGACGATTTTTCCATTCTTATGTGAGAACCTGGATATGTCTTATCCATTGTATATAAGTATCCTGGTAATTTTTTGTATGAATCAGCCGGTTCACCTCTAAGAAAATTCATTGCCTTTTCTTTAGCCCTCCATGCCAACATGTAGCTAACATCAACACCTAGATCTGATTTCACGTCATCAATAATGTCCTTCGGAGTGTATTTCCTCTTATGGTTTGTAAGCTTTGTCCTTATAATACCACTTATAAGGCTGCTACTAGCCTGTCGTTGCTCGTACACTTTATCCTTCAGCGAACATGTATGGTTGTCATTGAATTCTCTCACCTTGAATAATTCCGATTTGTTAATGCTTGAAGC